GGATAGTAGGCCAAAAGCACAGAGCAGTGCAGGCCAGGGATGGTGCGAGCAGGGGCTCTTCCGTGAGGCGGTGACTGCTCCGTTCTGCTCTTCCCTTGGCAGAAGCATCAGCGGAGACCAAGGACGCAGAGCCAGTGGTCCCACCCGAGGAGTCTGCACCGTCCCCAGGCCAGCTGACCCTGCCGGTGCCCGCGGAAGAGGCAGCCCACCTCCCTTTGTCTTCGGACAGTGAGCGTTCTGCTTCCAGTGCAGAAGGGCCCGGTGGAGCGCTGTATGCGCAGGTGGCCCGGCGCGAGACCCGGACGGCCCAGGGTTTAGGTGAAGCTGGGGGTCTGTCGCTGTCCCCATCGCCTGAGCGCAGGAAGCCGCCGCCACCTGACCCCGCCACCAAGCCAAAGGTGTCCTGGATCCATGGCAAGCACGGCGGTGGGGCCATCACCACGATCAGTTCGCCCTCACCTCCGTCCCCAGCGCCTGAAGCCATGCCCAGCCCTAGTAAGAGGAAAAGGACTCCCAGCGACACATCAGCGTGGCCAGACGAGCGCAGCAGTCCTCCAGCCCGTGACCTGGTACCGCGACCCCCTAGGCAGGCCGAGGAGGTACTGGCCCCTGCCCCGTCCTCGCCGCCCCGGGCCCGGGCTCGGGGGCGCGTCCCAGGCCTCCTGGAGCCAGAGGATGCTGGTGGCCCTCCGCTCAGCGCGCCCGAGGCCGCCTCCATACTGGCTGCTGAACTGCGTGACAAGACTCGCAGCCTGGGCCGCACCGACGTGGGCCCCGGCGCGCACGGCGCCCGGGAGAAGCCGCCGCCGCCACAGAAGGCCAAGCGCTCGGTGCTGCCTGCTTCACCCACGCGCGCGTCCTCCGCACCCGAGGCTCCTGGGCCGGAGAAGGCGACGGTCGGCGCACCCGAGACGCCTCGCAAGAAGACGCCTATCCAGAAGCCGCCGCGCAAGAAAAGCCGGGAAGCAGCGGGCGAGCTGTCAAGGGTGGGCGCCCCCAACCTGTAGCGAGGCGTTACCGGCCTAGCGGTACCTGCAGATTCTGTGTCTGGGCAGGCAGTTCCCTCCTGGCCTGGTCTGTTCCCATTGGCCAGCTGGAGCAACCCTGTTGGAAACTGCGTCCCATTGGCACAGGCCTCAGTAGTATCCACCCTGTGTCTGGTCTGTGCGGGCAGCTCGTGCCTGTCCCACACAGCCCCCATTGGCCCGCTGGAGCGGCTCTGTTGGAGGCTGCTTCCCATTGGCTGGCTGGAGCGCTGTGCGCCGTCCTAAATGCCTATCGCATTGATTAAGGTCTACCTGGTGCTTAGCGGCTAGATGTTAATTCCGCAGTGGCTGAGTTGCTGAGTTATTGGACATGCTCATGTCTCCTTGGTCAGGTTGATCTCTACCTAGACACCGTCTAGTCAAAGGTGTTTAGCTGGGCTACTTTTCTCATTGGTTGGGGCCAGATACCCTTTTGCCTGCTGCCTCTCCCTGGTCAAGGCCTGGTGCCTTTGGTTGGAAGAGGCTGCCCTTGGTCTTGGCCCTTACCTATGTCCAGAGACCTAGGTCATATGGTTGGCCGGCACCTGGGAAGGAGGGCTGGTCTCTGCTTCTTCAGGCATCCACTCCGGGGTCTGTACCTCACGAGTGCCTGATCCCCTGCTTTACCCCACCTCGTCTCTCTGCTGTCAAGCTGGTTTTGATGGCCTCCCCACAACCCACCCTGGGCATCTGGGGAAAGACCCCAGTGGCCCAGGGGACACGTATTCCCAGCAGGGCTGCATTTGCCCATCAGATGACCGCAGATAGGCTTTTTTCAGCAGAGCCCTGGCCAAAGCTTTCTTAATAAAGATGCCTTTTCCCTCAGCACTGACTGCACCCTGTCCATGGGGGTTAGGCAGAGATGTCCCTGGAGGATGACTCCAATGCATTCCCTATCACCGCCTATCGCCACCGATGCATTCTCACCATGGGACGTTGTGCCCGAGTCAGGGCCTGGAGGCTAGGTGCGGACCTCCCAGGAAGCAATGCAGAGTGCCCATCATGCCTTTTATCACATTTACTGAGATGGTGACTGGCCCAGGGGTTCAGGGCAGGCCCCTTGGTTAATGGGGACTTGCCTCTGAGACAGCTGCAAGTGCTGTTCAGCTGGGGGGAAAGAGCTGCTTGGTGTGTCTGGGGAAGCTGCAAGCTGAGACCAGGGGGCACTGGGCTGCAGGGGCACTTGGCTGCAGGCACACCTCCGCCAGGCATGAACAGGACAGTCTCCCTCTGCACAGAACCATACTGTCAGCTTCAAAGGGCTCCTTGTCCTTGGCTGGAAATGCACCCAGGCTTGCCTGGCGGCTGCCAGAAAAAAAAAAAAAAGAAGACAGGCACTTATTTTGCTGCCAGAGCTTCAGTAGACCCCTCTGGCCAGCTTTCTGTCTGTGTCTGTTTGCCCTGCCAGTCTCCTCAGACCAGGCCTCTCAAGTGACCCCTCTGTTCACCTGGGAGTCACTGGGTTGGTGCAAATAGTTACTGGCTTGGCTGATAATGGAAAGGTTGGTGGTGTGAATCCACCTGGAGGCACCAGGAAGGCCTCAAGGTCTCTGAGACATCAGCCCCATGGCAACACCGTGAGTTAGCGTGAAGGCAGCTGGCTTGACTCACAGTGTTGCTCACCTAACCAGGCCTCTGGGGGCATAGTGATAAGGACTGGCACTACCAACTCAAAGGCGCACGATTAGAATCTACCAGTGGACGAAGGATGAGCAGTTTCCTCCTTCTTGGGCAGTTGATAGCCTCTGGAAGCCTGCTGGAGGATCAGTTATGTGTTGGCTCTGACTTATCAGTCTATAACAACAATGACACACCTAGGGAGCTCTGGTGGCTGCAATCCCAGGGGTACGAGGTTCGACTCCACCAGCCAGAAAGGTGGGCATTCTCTTGTGCAATTTATTGCCTCTGAAAACCGACTAGATGGTCAGCCATGGGTGGGTTCTGACTCAATAATACATAACAACAGCACCTAACCAAGTTTTGGCAGCCATTCATCTCCCACCCACTTTTATAGGCCTCTCTTGTTTCCTCTGGCTTCTGCTGGATACCCAGATTGATGTCACTGAGGTCTGAGGAAACCTGGCAGCTGTTGCCCTAATCCTCGAGAGCTTACCTTGCTCTCTGCCTTCTAGCCAAGGGGAAACCTGAATCACCCACAGGTGCGCTCAGCCACCTGGGCAGGGATGGCACGGGGGTGTGGTGGGCATCTGGAATGAGTAGCAGGGATTCTGCAACCAGTCTGGATGGACAGCACATGGAGTTGAGGCACATGTCTTAGGGCCAATGAGGGTCCCCCCAGTCCAGGTCGTATGACTACCATGTGAGCCTGTGGTGGGGCTAAGAGATGGCCAGGAGGCCCCCTGGAAGTGGAACGTTGATGGTACCAGATGGGGATGGGAAGGGCAGCACAGCCTCTCCAACTCCCCAGCCCCCAACACTGAGATTCCTCCCTTCCCTGGCTTAGACCTCATTGGTATGGCTTCCCCAAAGCCCTTCTGCTGCCCTTGAGCTCCTGAAGCCCCACCTCCAGGACTCCTCTATAGGAATGCTCCTGCTGCCTGCCCCCTAGAAAGATCTGGAGCCTCCCAGGGAAGAAGCAGCTAGGAAGTCAGCAATCCTCAGCCCTGGACCAACTGTTCCTTCCCTCCCCACCCCCTCAGCCTCACAGCAATGCCACCTCCCCTGAGCAGGCACCACAAAAGGGAACTGGGGCTGCAGGAACCTCTGTTGCCATGGGGATGGGGACCACAGGACCCACATCTGGTAGTGATTGAGGAGGAAAAATTATGAGTCTTGGAAAACACAAATAGTTTTTGTAGCATAGAACACAAAGGAATGCAGGGACTGGACAAGGGCCAGGGCCCCCAGCCTGGCTTCAGACAGGGACGCAGTGTAGGGCACACAGGGATACATGTGGTGCCAGACTCCCAGAGACACCGGCCTGGAAGCCACAACATTACCCTACCAGACTCACAGAGACAGTCACCCATAATACACATACACTGAGATGCACCAACACATGCAAACTAACATCACACACTTCCCCTGCAAGATCCACATGCCTCATTCATTCACAAACGGAAAAGACAGTTCTACCAGTGCAAAACATATACCAGCAGACACACATGTCAGCAGACCCAAAATGTGTACACTTCACACACACACACACACACACACACACACACACACACACCCCACTTAGAAAAGAAGTAGAAGTACACATCCAGGACAAGCCGTAAGACAGGTACATACCTTGCATGCAGCATTTACACCACCAGATATATACTGATGCAGAGATGGAGCCTGTGACGCTTGTGGACTCACAGTAACAATCTGCACACCCACATTCCACCAGAAATCTAGAAACAGAGACTGGTGCACACACATACAGCATAGCTACAGACATGGTGTGACAGAGGGACAGCCCTCAACACATACACAGCATAGGCACAGACACAGTGTGACAGACACCCCTCAACACACAGCATAGCCACAACATGGCATGACAGAGGGACACCCCTCAATATGTGTGCACACAAATACAGCATAGCCATAACAGTGTGACAGACACCTGTCAACACAAACAGCATAGACAACATGACAGGCAACCCTCTACACACACACACATACCCCATAGCTGCAGGCACAGCATGACAGATACCCTTCAACACATATACACACACACTGCATAGCCACAGACACAACATGACAGACACCCCTCTACACACACACACACACACACACTGCAGAGCCACAGACACAACATGACAGAGACACCCCTCAACACACACTGCATAGCCACAGACACAACATGACAGAGACACCCCTCTACACACACACACACACACACACACACACACACTCTCTCTCTCTCTCTGCATAGCCACAGACACAACATGACAGTAACAAACCCTTCAACACACATGCACACACATGCACAAAGTGTAGCCACAGGCACACTGTGACTGACAGAAACATGCACACACATACTCACACACCACTATAATGATACACTGTGTGCCAGAAAGAAACCCCTCAAACCACACGCCACCACCCCCCACCGGACTTAGAGCATACAGACCCTCAGCACACATAGTCCACCAGACACAAACACATCACAGCAGACACCACAAAACATTGACCTTCCCAACAAACACAGAGGGACACACACAGAGAAAGAAAGTATATGCACAGTGACATATAATGAAACACAAAGATCACTTACTTTGCACTACAGCCCTCTAAATACAGAGAAATGCAGTACAAACACCCACAGTTCACCACCAGCAGAAAGATGCAAACATGCACATTGAAAGAACCAGAGAAATCCCAGGAGACACATGAGCATTAAACATATACATACAGCCAGAGTTAGACAAACATACATTGCAGACTACGTGGAATTATTGAATCAGACACACTGTCTGCAGTACACACCACCGCCACCTCCAGACATGCAGATACAACAGAGCATACACACGCACACTCCACAACAGAAAATGAGACAAACATCCTCCAAGAAACAAAGACACACACAAAGGTCTCCAGAGGAGTAGTGCATTGTATACTGGCTGCTAACGTTCAGGCTGTCAGTTCAGGGAAGTGAGGTTTGAGGTTTTTGCATTTAATATACATTCATCTACACATCACATCCCAAAACAACCAAGACAGAGATGTGTCATGCAACACATATATGTATCCTGCCAAACCCAGAGGCCGACACACAATGCCTCACAGTCACTGAGATTACAGGTACCACAGATGCGCAGGAATATAGACAGAGGCCCTTCTTGTAGCACACACAACCCCTGCTACTACATAAACACAGAAAAGCCAATGGAAATGGAAACACATTTCCCTCCAAACCGCAGAGACACAGCAGGTTCATGTACTGCAACATACAACAGTGCCACCAAACTACCCTGGGAAACAGAGGCTTGAAACAGGCGCACACCCCACCAAACCCAACTAAATCCTGACAG